AATTGGCATGATCACCATCACGACAAATTAGCTCAGGCTTTCAATTGTAAATTCCTGAGAAGCAGCAGCAGACTAACCTAGGTATGTCAGGCCATCTTTGCTTCATCACCTGTGGCTGGAGGGGAGGGACAAGCCTGTGCCTTGAGTGATTGTTCTAGGACTGTGGAAGTTACTTAAATTCAGGACAATGGTTACCTCTGGTGGGAAGAAAAGTGGGGAGGGATACATAGGTGTCTTTGACTACTTTACTTCTGGTTTATTTCCTAAACTTTAGGGGGATTTCTTGGTATTTGCTATGTCATATTTTTATATCATTTTAAATGTCTGAAATCTTTCTTGAAAGTTTAAAATAAAAAAGAGGGGCTCTTCTTTAAGTGAAGAGGAAGAAAATTTGTATAAAATTGCACGTATATAGACATATATTGACCAATGATCAGCTTTCAATAAAATAACATATAATTCTCTGTTAATCCTTTGGTTCTCAAATTCTTCATCCTAGTTTATGATAGACACTGTTCTATTCAGGAGTTGATTCATTCATTCATTTATTCATTCACAAACACTGATTCACTAAGCACCATATGCCAGGAGTGGTGGGAAGCCTTGGATTTACAAGAAAATATGAGAACCCGAGGCTTACACAAGGAGACAGACATGCAGCTAGCAAGAGTAGGATGGAATTCTAACTTTTTAAAATCTGAAATGAGATTCTATATAAAGGTTTCTCACAGTTTTTGTCTAGGAAAATCCTCCATTATTTGGGAGCAAATTGTCTTTTGTGTTGGAAGAAATCACTTAAGTGGCCCTGCCTGGTGATGGGAGGGCGAGTGGCACTCATTACTAGGACAAGGAGATTATGTGTGTGTGCCTGACAGAAGCTGCTTTTCCCAATCCTTTAGGCAAGCTGGGGAGATGGGCTAACTTAGACAGGGGCCAAGGGACTTCTTGGAAAGAAAGGGAAGGAGACTTTGAAGTGGGTGCAGAGTTTTAGAAGAGTTAAGATGACGATGGCTTCAAGAGATCTGCTGGCAGAGAGGATATTGAGGCTGCTGAAGAGGGTCTCATAGTGGCAGAGGGGTATCTTTAATCCCTTCCAGAAACAGACCCTGAGATGAGGATTCATCAGTAAGTGGTTTCCTGAGAAGGCTGTCCCAGGGAGAGACATAGGGAGTGGGGGAGCGGGACTGACAAGGAAAGGGAGGATGTGCTCCCAGCAGAGCTCCCAGAGGGTAGCTTCAGCAGATTCCACAGGGGACTCTGGAGTATAAACTGTCTACACTCTGAAATGAGAGGAAGGGGTCCTAATAAATCCCAGCAGAATCCTGTCATCAAATGCCACAAAGGGGCTAGGCTGGCTGGTGAAAGGGTGTAGTGCTAGGACCTATGGTCACAGGTTGCATGTAGGAGGCTGGGGGCTGGGAGCAAACCTTAGCCCAGCCTGGGCTTAAGCCAGGGAGCCACCCTTGACACACCCACTCTGGCACAGTGAGCCCCAAAGAGTGAGCTCTGGACCAACAAAGGTGGACTAAGGCCAATGGATGATTCACCATCACCGAGCACAGGGTCAGTTTTTAAAACTAAGGGAAGCAGTAGCACTTTAAAAAACAACAGAGTGAATGGCTGAGTTAATCAGAGGCACCAGCTTGTTCATGACTGGCCCCTTCGAGTTGAGTGCAAATCCGTGAAGTTACTGAACAATTTGATGGGAAAAGAACATCTCCACAGCCCTGGGAAGGGGGTAAGCTTCCTGTAAACCTGGCAAGTGGAAACTAAAGCCAGTTTTGCTTGAAGAATAAAGCACTGTGACTTAATTTTCACCCCAAGCTGGTGAAGCAGGTCATGCCAGTTATATACAGAAATAGGGAAATAATTTCAAATTGTGGTAAGTCTTATGGCTGTAAAGCATAGGTTAAAATGAGAGAGAATAATTAATTAGGAGATATGATTGGATTTATAGGAGAAGGGGTCAGAGAAGTGTCTGTGAAAATGTGGTATTTCAACAAAGCCTGAGGAACCAATGGTATGGGGTAGGGGAGGGGCAGAGCCTCTCTATAATGAAAATAGCATGTGCAAATGTCCTGAGGCAGGAAGCTATTTGATGTACTTGATAAGTATGGCCAAAATAAGGTGAGTGTGGCTCTGGACCAGTAAGTGAGGAGAAAATGGTTCCAATGAGATTGAAAAGGATGGCAGGGGCCAGGTCATGCAAGGCCTTACGAACTGTATCAAAGTTTTGTTTGTTTGCATTTTTCCCTAAGGGTCCTGAGGAATCACTGAAGGAATTACAGCAGAGAACTAACCTAATAAAATCTACCTTAAAATAATTGTTCAGTCTGTTGTGTGGACAATGAACTGGAACCAGATAAGAATGGAGGCAGCTATGAATAAGGCCATCATTTTGGAATCCCATTACTTGGATTCAAAACCCACTTCTGCCATGTACTAACTGTGTGACTATGGGTGAGTTACTTAACTTCTCTATGCCTTGATTTTATCGTCTCCAAAATGCAAATAAAAATAGCACTCACTTTATTGGGTTATTATGAGGCTTTAAAGATACAATGTTTGATAAGCATTTTCACACATAGTAAACTTGGCACAGAGTAAATACCCAATAAACTTTGGCCAATGTATGGTGTATTATTGTGTATTGTTATTATTATTTTTCAGTAGGAAGAGAAAGCTGTTGGAGTTTTAGGAGACAAATAAAAAACAACCCCATCTCTCCCTTATAAGTTTAGAACCAGTGGAAAAATAAGACAAAGAAGATGACAAGTGGGCATATTCTGGCATGAGTGAAGGGGTGAGGCATACAGTCAGAAATAAATAAGTGGTTAAATACTTAAGTTATATCATGCTTTAGAAAATATCTCTTCTATTACTGATAATGAGGAAGTGTGGCTTAGATCAGCAGTCAGGTCAACCTCCTACTATTTCCCCCTGATGAAACAGACACACTCATCTAATCACAGAGTTGGAAAACCACTGCCCCTCTCTCCCCCCATCACTGCAGGGTGAGAGTTTCCCCTAAAGCTCACCAGACAGTAGAAGGAAGACCAGACCCAGATATAGTCATCTTTCTTAAATTAACTATGATAAAATGCACCCATTTAAACTGTGCAGATAGATGAGTTTTGAATGATTTATGCATCTGTGTAATTATCACCACCACAATCAAGATATAGAATATTTCCATTACTCCAAACAGTTTCCTCATGCCCCTTTGCAGAAAATTCCTATCCTTGAACCTCACAGCAATTAAAATTAGTTTTGCCTCTTCTGGAATTTCTTATAAATGTAACCATATAGTATGCACTCTTTGCATCTTCTTGCTTTTGCACAGGGTGTGTTTGAGACTAATCCATGTTGTTGTATATATCAGTAGTTTTTACATACTGTGGCCAGGTAGTATTTTATTGTATGGACATTCCACAAAATTTATGTATCCATTTATCAGCTGATAGGTATTGGAGTTGTTTCCAGGTTTTGACTATTATGAATAAAGCTACTGGGACTATTCATGTAAAAGTCTCTATGGACATATGTTTTTAGTTTTCTTGGTTAAATGCTTAGAATTGGAATTGCTGGGTCATGTGATAAGTTATTCTTTACTTTATAAGAAATTGCTGAATGGTTTCCGAAAGCAGTTGTACCATGTTCTGCTTTCCCTCCAGTAGGGCATGAGAATTCCTGTGTCTCCATCATCCTCATCAACATTTGATCTGGTCAGTTCTTTTTTTTTTTTTCAGGTTTTAAAACTTTTTATTTGCATATTAAAAACTTGTGCATTCCAATCATTAAAATCATTTTAACAACAACAACAAAAATGGCACTCTGATTAAACTGCATTTTACAGCCTGCAGGACACCTTGGACCAGCTTGGTTTTTACTCTAATTTCACTGTCGTCCCACCCAGCTTGCTCCTTCCTTCACCAACATGCAGGTCTTTCCCTTCCCTGCCAGCCAGGCGGTGGGAGAGGCAGGTGCGGCCTTCCTTGCCAGCAGTTCTCTGATGTGAAAAGGGGCAGCACAGTCACTTAAACGGATCCAACCTCTTTGCATCTTACAAAGTTAAACAGCTAAAAGAAGTAAAATAAGAAGGCGACGCTTGTGGAATGTACAGTGCATACTGGCGGCGCGAGCCTCATTAAGATTCGCCTGCTTGCTCCTCCTGTTCAATCGTTTCTTTGGGAGGCAGTGGATTTTTCTCTTGCGTTTCTGTCTTCTTCAATTTCGACTTATCGAATTTCTCAATCTCAGCCACACCGGCTTTGTCAGACATGGTTGCAGCGGGAGCCGAGCGAGGCGCAGAGCGAGGGAGAGGTCAGATCTGCTCCGGGGCCGCCGCCAAGGCTGGTCAGCTCTTTTAATTTTGGCATTAATTTTAGTCCTTTAGTGGGTGTGCAGAGGTATTTCAATGTAGTTTAATTTACATTTCTCTGATAACTAATGATATTGAGCATCTTTGCCTCCACTTATTGACCATTCCTATGTCTTTTTTGTGATATATCTGTTTAAATATTTTGCCTATTCTAAAAGTAGGGTTTTTTCATTCTCATTAGTGAGTTGTACAAATCCTTTGTATACTCTGGACCTTGTTCTTTGTAGATATATGGGTTGCAAATATTTTCTCCTCTCTGTGGATTACCACTTCACTTTCTAATAAAGTCTTTCAAGGAACAGAAGTTTTTAACGTTGATGAAGTACAATTTCTTAGTTTCTTCCTTTTGTGGTTTGTGCTTTTTTCCCTATCTAAGGAATCTTTGCCTACCCCAAGTAACCTGGGTCTTTCTTCTAAGTATCCTTCTAGGACCTTACTAGTGTTAGCTTATATATACAGGTCTATGATGAATTTCAAGCAAATTTTTGTGTATGGTAAGACTTGAGGTTCCTTTTTTTACATATGGACAACCAGTTTATCTAGCACCATTTGTTGAAAAGACTGCCTATTCCATATTGAATTAGAATGGCACCTCTGTCAAAAATGAATTAACCATGCATGTGTGGATATGTCTCTGAACTCTCAATTTTGTTGCATGGATTTATGTCTATCTTCACACCAATACCACATTGTCTTGACTGCCTTATGGTAAGTCTGAAATGAGGTAGTATAAGTCCTTCAACTTATTCTTTTTTTCAACATTGTTTTGCTTATTCTAGCTCTTTTACATTTTTATAAAATTTCAGAATCAGCCTGTTAATTTATATAAAAATGCCTACTGGCATTTTACTGGGATTATATTGAATTTATAGATCAATCCGAGGAGAACTAACATCTTACCAATACGGAGTTTCTGAACTTATGGCTTATCTCTCCATTTATTGAAGTTTTTTCTCTCAACTATGTTTTTCTTTCAGTGTACACATATTTTGTCAGACTTATATGCTAGTATTACATATTTATTCATGCTATTATACATGGTATTTTTCATTTCATTTGTTTGTTGCTAATACACAGAAATAAAATTGATTTTTACATCTTGATCTTGTATCCTGCAGCTTTTGGCGCTGCATGCATGCTAAAATGGGAGCATGCCTTTCCCTAGTTCCCTGCATGTGCTTCATTCCATGCACAATCACTTAGGAATGTGTTTGGTTAAAAGTTTCACAATAGTAACATAAACATATATTAGGTGACAGCTGTTAAGTTGCAATGACTTCCTGGGGAACCTTTCAGCCTTTTCCTCATAGTTGCAGGATAGCTATTACAGCTGCAACCCTCACATCCTTGTTCAAAGCAAAAAAGAACAGAGAAGGAAAAACAAGCACATTGGTTCCCTTTTATCAGCAAAGCAAGATCTTTCCTCTAAAACAGTATTTTTCAACCAGAAGTGATTTTACTACCCAGGAGACACTTGCCAATGTCTGGAGACATTAGCCATTGTCACAACTAATGGGGTGCTATTGACATCTAGTGGGTGGAGCCAGGGATGCTGCTAAACACTTTACAATGCATAGGATAGACCCCCCCTTCCCCCCCCCCTACACACACAAAGAATTACCTGGTTCAAAATGTCAAAAGTGCCCAGGTTGAGAAACCTTGTTGTAAACCACCCCTGTAGACCAGATCTGGGTATGTGGTCATCACTAGCTTCTGGGAGACTAGAGTAGTAGGAAACATTGATTGGAATGATTAGATTCAGTCTCTGATGGCCCCGTAACATGGCCTGAGCATATGAGTTTCCCAACAATTAGAGTTCTGCTAGTGAGGGAGCCGGTGGGAATGAAGACTGAGGAAGCAGCTGCAAAAGAGGCAAGAGGATTGCAGTGCCCTTGCTCCCAGCTAGGTCTGGATTTACAGCTAAAAGACCACAAAATCAACTTAAAAAAACAAGAGAAGTGTAGCTGATTGGACATATATTTAAGGAGCACTGAAGAAACAATGTAGAGATGGTAAGAGAAGGGGAGTCATGGAAAGGGGGAGCCTCCCCTGGAGCTGAAATTCGGGCTGAGAGGCCAGAGTGATATTGGCTGCAAAGCCCCCGGCCCCCTTGGAAGTGTGGGTTCTCACTTCATGCAGGGATCCCAAACCTAGAACAGCAGAATTTGGAAGAAGAATCTGCATAGTATTGGGCGGAGGGAACCAAGAAAATTTTGCCTGGGAGACTGGGACCATACCTTCCCAGTGAAGGAGCTCTCCTGTTGTTAGCAGCCCCAGCCTGAGAAGTTCGCCCTGGGCTCTGACTCGTGGAAAGGCTGCACTGTGGTGTGTGGGTTTGAAAAAAAAAGGAGTCTTGGGCCTGCACCCAGAAGTGACTTGGAGGGACCCTCTACTTTCCTGGAAGGCATTGTGCAGAGCCCCAGTGAGTGACTACGTGGTTTGGCTTGGGGAAAAGGGAAGGGATTATTCCACTTCCAGTGCAGGGTTGGAACCCCTCCCCTCATCTGTGGAGGCTCATGGACTCCTTCATCCTGTGGGGTTAGCAGCACAGCTTGGAGGAGCAGGACAGATAGGGGATTTTTGGCCTGCACTAAGGAAAGTTGAAAGCATGAGCGGAGCTGGGATTCTTGGTTCTGGCTTTGCTGAGACCAGCCATGAGGAGGGATCTGAGTCCTGTGTGGGGCTGATTTTGTAACCCTCTCCTGCTTGGACCTGTGGCATGAGGGCTCCAGGTCCTCACAAAATCGAGATTTTAGGTCTGTGTCCCCCAGGAAGGCTCCTGATGGGGAGACAGATGAGGGAGAGCTGGGCTTTGTGACTGCATTGTGGGGAGGCTGATCCAAGCTCCCTGTGAATTCAGTCAGTCAGTCCCTGGAAGGAGAGGTAGATCCCATCTCCCACTCCTGAAGTTTGGGAACACCATCCCCAACAGGAGACGGTTTGAATCAACTCTGTGAAGGCTGGGCGCAGTCAGGCGGGGTGGGGGACAGGAGAACAGCTCAGAGCAGGACTTTCCAAGTGTGAAACCCTCAGGGGATATTGTCTGGGACCAGGAGGAAATGCTTAGCCCCCTTCTACAGGCAGGGCCAGCAGCATTCTTCACAGAGACTCTTGATCAATACCACTGAGCCAAGCAGCTGAAACTGCTCTTACAGAAAAGGCCCCTCGTCAGAGGTCAGCTGTAGGGGGGGCTGTTCAGTGCACCCAGCACTTATTCTGAGAGGGCCTCCATCCCTGGGTAGAACATTGGTCAGAGAGCTGGGTGGGGCTGGGACTGGGGCTGGTCTGTGTGTGTAGGGGGGAAAAATGGTATCAGATTTCCCTACCTCACTTCCACCTCAGGCTCACTGACAGTGCCCTGCCTCCAACCTGTGAACCAGCTAGATCTGACCCCTTCTGCTGTGATCTGAGCTAAAGGAAAATGGGCACAGGGCTAGGAATCTGCACCCTTATGGCTCAGTCTGATGGCGCAGGGAACACGAACATCTAGCCAGATAAAGCCTGGGCAGAAGTCCTGCCCAAGTGCGGCAGGCTGCGCAGAAAGATTGAAGTGCCAAGAGGGGCTGATTTTTGTACTTTTGTTTTGTTTTGTTTTGTTTTTGATTCCTTCCTAAATTGAGTGGAATGCCAGGGAGCCAGGCGGAGCTGAGGTGTTGCAACAGTGTCTCCCTGGTAGGTTTCTTTCTAGGAGACTCTGGGCCCTTGGGCATCATTACAAGATCTGAACTTCCCAGTGAGTATAGCCAGCGCAGCCCTGGGAAAAAGAGGAAGTGCCCATTCCTACAGATTACAAGCACTACCCACAACATGTGTCTGCTTAAACCACCCTGGCCAGGTCCCAGATACCTCCACAGAGTGAACATCTGTGAGGGAAGGGAGAGCAACTCAGAGCAGGTACATTCAAAGGGTGAGACCAGAGGCAGACCCAGTCTCTGGGTTTTAGAGGACCTGCTCACCAGACTCTTTAGGGCTCTGCCCTACCAAGTATCAGACCACTGGCCAGAACCCACGCAGGTATAGTGAATGACATTGATTGCACCAGAGAACCTACCAGGAGGCCTGTGACTGGCACATCAAGGGACCAGTCTGGGACAACATCTGAGCAAAATACAGTGAGCACCACAAATAGCAGATCCAACAGGTGAATATGCAGTAGGCACCAAAATCTGCAGAGCCAAACTCCACTTTTTCCTTTCATTTCTTTAACTTTATTTTGTATATAATCTCCACCCCCACCTTTTTTCAGATTTCACATAGTTTCTGCTTCTCTTTTTTCTTTTTTCTTTCATATCCCTTATTTCTCTTTCCTTTCCTCTATTTTTTCATTTTCTTTACTTTTTAAATTTCTTTTCCATTTTCTCTTCTTATTCCATATATTATTTATTCATTATTATTACCTTTTAAGATTATTTCACACATATATATTTCTCCTCTTCTATTCTTATTTTTTTCTTTCATCTCTCCATCTTCTTTCCTTTCACATTCTCCTCCTTCATTTCCTTCTCTCTGCTCTAATTCTTTTGGTCTCTTGTATTATAGTATTCCCATTTATTTCCCTTTCTTCCTCTTCTCTTTTCTTATTCTTTTTTTGTTGGTGGTGGGTTGCTTAGGTTCATGTTATTAGTTTTTATTGTGTGTCTGCGTTGTTTTCAAAATGGTACTGTTTTGTCTTGTCTCGTTCTATCAGCACCTATATAACAGCTGACATGACATGGTTGGGGTTGACCCTCATAGTCGGCCAGCCGGAAGAACAAGCCCAACCAGATCCAATTACAATAGGATAGCCCACATAACTCACAGAAGGGGCATTTTTAGAGCACCAACCTCAGAATATCACGGAGACTACACCACCAGGTCCCACAAGACACCCACTACAGAAGGTCAGCCCATCAAGATTGGGAGTCATAGCAGATCTACCTAATAAAGAGATACAAGCAGGAAGAGGCAGCCTAAGTGAGGAGACAA